GACCCATTAAGCTGGCAGCCTGCGCTCTGCGCCTCACCCCGGGGCTGCGCTCTCGCAGGTGCCCAGAAGGTCGTCCTGGACACCGGGCGGGGCCCTCTGAGGTCTTTCTACTCCTTCAGGCTGTTTTAAACTGAAATCTCCTGTAACTGTGAGCTAAATAAACCTTTCCTCCCTTCGATTTCGAGAGTCTGGTATTTGTCCCAGCAAGGAGGGAACAGTAACTAAGACAGTGCCCTCTCTCTGCGCTTAGTAGGCACTCCTGATGAATCTTAATAGTGACGTAGGCGCTTTACAGCAGTTTCTAATAGGGATTAGCTGATTGCAGCATCAGGGATGTGAAAGGTTGTGCTTGAGATGTGACCACCTTTCCACGCTAGGCCATCAGCCTTCACCACACAAGAGTGCTCGAGCTCCGCGTGCTTCTGGGCCAGACCCGCAGGCGTCTTGGCGCTGCGCGGGAAGCAGCAGGCCCTTCACCCACCGCAGCGTGCTGGTTCTGCACAGAGAAAACAGTGACGGGAAGGGCCCGTGGGTGCGCAGCTCGCCCAGCAAATCTCCTTACCAGCTCAGAAAATTCATTTGGAGAGCTTGGCTCCTTTATGAAGAATTTGAAAACACAAAACGTGCTTCGAATAGAGTCAGCATTTTATCAAACTATTCAGGAAATAATATGTTCATTATTCTGAAATGAGATGCTGTGTTTTCCAAAACTGTGTATTATAAAAACATTTTCGAAGAGAAGGTCTAGAACAGAAAGGAAGGTAATCTCCCTGCAGGCAAGGTAGGAAGGCATGGAAGAGCTCAATGGAGAGCTGTTTTCTCACACAAGTGTCCCCAAGAGGAGGATTTAAAAATCTGAAAAAGTTCCAATGTCTCTGTTCACAGAAAAGAAAGTTTTCCAGAATCCTAAAGTGTTGTACAATAGTTTTCATACCTTTGTTCTTTGGTAATCTAAAATCTATGTGTAACTGAGAAATTCTCAGAAGCTTTATTCTTTCTTAATTTCCTTATCCTCCATTACATATATGATTAAAAAAGACAAAAAAGGAAATTGATTTTTTCTGATCTAGGAATCTGTGAAAGTGATTACAGATATGTTTCCCTTCAACTCATGATATCCACTTTCTCTACCTATGTTTCTGTCATGAAGTTAGCTCTTTGGTCCTATTTTCATATTTTTCCTCAACTCAAAGTCTTTAGATTTACCCAACTGCCTACCAAACACTGGTAACCATATCCCCTTTTTTTCTGTTAAGTTCTACATACCTTTCATTCATCTGCCTCACTCTATAAGAAACAAGCTGAACTGTTTGATAACTTTCATTGCAAAAGTAAGAGCACATTTTATTTGCCCTAAATGCATAGTGAAAGTAAATTTTATAATGTATTTCTTTTCTTTTATTGTGGTGTTTTGGAACGAAAGGTCTCACACGTGGCTGAGAAGCACTCTACCATTAATATACACATACAGCTTCTCGCAATGTTATTTTTAAACTTTCACCCAGGGTTCTCACGTTATACCAGCTAGCCTTGAACTTGACCCTCTGCGTTTCCCTCCAGAATAGCGGGGATTACAGGAGTGAGCAACGGGTGCCTCTTTGTACTGTTCATTTGAATTGTTCTGTCACAGGAAATAATCTGAAAGCAAGAAGTAGATTCTTCTCTGTGTGTGTGTGTGTGTGTGTGTGTGTGTGTGTGTGTGTGGCCTGCTTAGCCTGAGACCACTGAGCTGTCTTGCTGGCTGAAGAAGGAGATTCTGATTGCACTTGTGTAGAGATCATCACTGATCATAGAAACTGACAGAAACAGTGCTCAAATTCACACGAGTTCAATGAACAAGTGAATTTCTATTTGTGGTAGGTCATCTACTAAACTTATTTTTAACTATATTATGCTCACAGAAATTAAAATATTGCTACTCAAAATTTATATATGTTATATCTTACATTTGTTTAGGCTTCTTTTCTTTCTTTCTTTCTTTCTTTCTTTCTTTCTTTCTTTCTTTCTTTCTTTCTTTCTTTTCTGCAGAACTGGGGATTGAACTCCGGCCCTTGGGCTTGCCAGGGAAGCATTTATTCTACTGAGCCATCTCCCCAGTCCCTTGTTTAGGCTTCTTGAAAAAGAAAGAGATTATAGGTACAGACTTTATTCTGATCTCAATTTTCCTCTTTTCTTATGATATTTAACCATCCTGAATTTGCTGTGACCATTTTCAACTGTAGATTGCAATTTTATGAAATATATATTTCACTCTAAGTTCTACAGATTTAAAATTATAGTCTTACATAGTACATATATGTGATTTATATGGACACATACATGCATTTGCAATGAAATACAGAATTTCTGCATACATGTCAATGTACAGTTAATTTCTATGTATTTCTCTATGTAGCTCATGGTGTTTTTCTAGCTATGCAACTTCTATAATCTTATTTTGATAAAAAGTTTTCCATTTGTTTTCATAATTTTTATTGTTTTTTCAGTTCATCTAATAAACACCTTGTTCTTTTTGAAAAAAATGTTAGTATCATTTTTTAAATTTAAGAAGGTGAAACACATGTCAGAGAAATCTTTGACTTTATTTAGATTTTAATTACCTAGAGTGAATTTATGTTACAAAACGTCTTCATTTGCTAACCTTTACATTTTTCACTTCTAGAGTCATAACAATGTGCAATTCTTTCTCCAGCTCTTTGGGAGTCCCTGTCTGCACTCGCTTTGCCGGGCAGCATTCTGGAATGTTCCCTTGAGGTAAAGGCGCTCTGAAGATGTGTTGCAGCCCAGTGGCTATCTCCACTCTCCTCTGTGTCTCTGAATTTGCACTTCTATACAAACAACAGCCTCAGAAAAATAATGCTTTTAATTTTTTCTTCTAGATTTCTTTCTCTATGTTCTGGGGGTATATAAATCTCTCCTAAACTCACAAAATATAAATCCGAGCCCCCGAGCTCGGCAGTCCTGCATGGTTCCTTTGACCTCTTAGACTGTTACCCATGGTGGCCTTGTGTGTGGCACACAGCCGATCTGCCTCCAGCGTCTGTATCGCTGGAATCCTCCTAATGCTTCCCTGCTGGAAAGTACAATGCTGATTAACAGACGGAGAAGCTGGCTCTCAGGAGCTCACAAGGTCTGCACGTTTCCAGCCGCAGGAAGACGTGCGCTCAGACGCAGTTTCATCGGTGTGCAATGTCCTCTTTTTAAAAATTGCTGTTTTTCCTACCTATGCTTGATGAATCAAGTTTATGTTATTTATGGTTTCTTCAACTCTCAAAAGTTGCAAATTCTTCCTAGAAATATATTTTAACATGTTTAGCACCATGTAAGACACCATGGGCTTCACACACCTGAAATGCTTTAGCTCATTTAAGAATTAATTTGCATGAATAAGATGGATGCTGACAAACCTATGCATGCTTCCCCTTGATGTTTGTATGACTTTGTTCAGAACACCTTAAATGTAATTCCCAACAGTGGTGTTTGATAATATCACTGAATTAAGTTATTTTTAATAAAATCATTAACTGAATTCATAAATTCCAGATATAATGATGGTGTGGAAAGGTCTCTGATAATGATGTGGGTTTCAAAAGGAATAAAATTTGACAGTTTTCTTAAAGCATTTTCAAAGCCACAGATATACAATTTTGGTAACTTTAACTTAATACGTATTTCAATATGAGGTCAAATTTTCACTGAGACATCTTCAACTTGAAAATTTAAAAATAGAAAGTAAAACCTTCATTGAAAAAAAGATAATTCAAGTGAAAAATAACTTCATATGCTTTCATCTTACTAAGAAAGTTAAATGTGACCCCAAATCATAAAATTGTTTGAAATGGAGATTAGTTAGGTGCACACTGTGTGTTTGTCAGTTTGAGACAGAGTTTCACTATGTGGCTTCGCTAGCTTTGCGCTTGCTGTGGAAGATGTCCCAGAACTTGGGGGCTACCCACATCTCCCCATGGAGTGCTATGACTGCAGGTGCCCACCGCCTCACCAAGAGAGTTATTGTTTACTGTTTCCTATGTTTATTGACTCTAAATATACAGGGCCAGCAAAAAGCATACATACTCCAGTAGTTCATCCTACTAAAAAGTGCCTGGAAGCTACTAGCTACTACTTTGAGAATCTCTTGTAACTTTTTTTTTTGGCCTGCTCAGTCCAACGTGAGAGTGGGGCTGGGGCCACATGTGGCGCTGGAGACGAATTTCGGTTCCCTGCGCCTGCCTAAGCTTGCCTAAGCAGGCACTTTAGACCACTGAACTGTCTCGTTGGCCCTGTTGTCATTTTAGAGGTCAAACTTGAGTCGTTTTCATCTTGTGATGTCTCAATTATAGATAGATAGATAGATAGATAGATAGATAGAGATAGATAGATAGATAGATAGATAGATAATACTGTATTTATTTTGTAAGATGAGATGTTCAAATGTAAGCGAATATGAAAGTTGAATGGCATCTGTCACACAGGACTACCAGTTCTGCTAAGTACACCAGACCACAGTGCTACTTAACCAGGAGAGGAACTAAATTCTGAATATTTATAATAATCTGGGTGGCTGCATGCACCTTTTAGTATGCTTGTGATCATTTAAAGACATTAGTGAAAAGGAGAAAAAAATTATCTGTTTTAGAAAGGTAACTGTTTGCCACGATGTGCTTGCCTCTGCTTCCAATGTAAGTCAGGGAGAGCCTTAAATCCCACCTAATAACACGTTCAGCTAAATATATTGAAAGTTTGGAGAAGAAGAAATATGACGCTATTTAGAAAATTTCATAAACTTCTTTGCTATTTCCCTATAGAATAAAGTGACTTCTAAGCAATCTTAAGAATCTAGCCAACACAGCATTTAAGTACAGATGACCTTTCCATTGTCACTAAGTGACTAGATTGTTATTTTTCTTCTGAAATATAGATTGTTAAACCCTAAGAGTTTTAAAAGTTTTGTAATATTATATATTGTGCATAGTTTTTATACATACTTTGGTAAATGTTCATAATAACAAAGGAAATATAATTTGTACAACATATCTTGATAGCTTTGCTAATACAAAATGATTTCAAACATTGAGTTTCCTTCCATAACTGTCTCTAGGATATATTTTTCATTTTTTCCTAATTTAAATATTTTTTACCTTCTAGCATTTGCAAAAGCTCTTATAAACATGTTTGTCAGCTAAGATTTCTCTTAAGATTTGCCAAGAGCATATTCCATGTACATTTCTTGTCTAAAGGAGTGCTTCTGAATAAATTCAGTGCGTGTTATTTGTGCACATGGCCCCATTTTAAAATAAGCTATTCACAGATCATAACACATTAGCAACAAACTGACTCAAGTGCTCACTGGTAAGCTCTTTGTGGGTTATAGGAATAAAGCAAAACTAGTCAGCCTATTAAATATCAAGTTATGAGAGAAACCACTTCAATCAAAAAGTAAGATATTCAGGTTCACCTTCATTGTCCTTAAGGGTGAAATTTGGGTTCAAAGGCAGGCGTTCATCAAGAAAGAAGCTAAATCTTGGTCCATTGGCAAAATCATCCTTATCAGTGGCACTGATGGTATGAATAACCTACAGGAAAGACATACCAGAGAGTCAGTTCAAGTTGGCTCATTCCTTGGAGTTTAATTATAGAACATCATCTTATTGTTAAAAAAATTTTAGACGCTCATTTTCCAACTCCAATGTTTAAATTTTAACACATAAACATGCCATTAAATGTATTCTTCATGTGATCTTTGGAAAAACATGGTACATCTTATAACCTCTCATACTTTATTTTCTATGTTACAAAACATTTAAAATAAATACACGCAGCTACTTGTAACATTTTGTACGATTACCTATTTGGGGAGAACATTACGTATGATTTACAAAAATATAAACCGCTCAGTGTTGACGCAGAAGAGCTTTGCAGTGCATGTTGTTTTCTGTTAGTAAATGCAAAACCAGCAGAGCCTCCTATTTTTTGTCTGGTGTCTCCAGAAGGCTTTGCTGCTGAGGAACCTGACTTCTACAAAGGTTTTGATTTGTCCAAATTCTCTGCCACAGTGGCAGAGGCAGAACATGATGCAATTTACTAATAGCCTTTTATCTGGTCAAAATTTCCTGTGTCAGCAAGCGATTTTAGGTTCAGATCAACTGCACTTCTCCAGCTATGTCCTTATCATTCCTTTTTACTTTATTTTCTAATACGTAGTTTTGAGCTAAAATGCTCAGACTTCATATTTTCCATTTTCTTCATCCATCAGAGAGCAGCTCCACCTGTCTCTGGATAGATGTCTGTCTTCTTGTTTGGGCTTTTTACTCTGAATAGAAGGCACTGATGGATATTCCAGAGTAACTTGACCATCTTTCTCAAGAGCATGAAAAGCTTTCAAATAGAATTCAAAATGCTTTCTCAACCAAGAAATAAACTCACATTCTATGAACATCCATCAATTAAAAACAAAACTGAAATAAAAAGAAGGAAAAATTTTCAAATTTATTTTCAGGATTAAATAAATGTAAGTATTTAAGGAACGTGACAGTAACTCATTCCTTGCCACGACACACATACACAATCACAAAGTGCTTGCACAGGTACACACATGAAGGCGCGCGGAGGCATACATTTATCTCCTGCCTTGGCTCCTTCCAAAAATAAATGAAATGTACATATATTCTTAATGCATTGTCATTTTAGAGACAATGTGTGCAGCTCCACTTTGTGCATGATAATTTGTACCATTACGATGCATTCTCAAGCTCGCTGCTTAGCCACAAGTACAATTTTGTAGGAATTGGTAGAGATCAAGTCAGTGAGTCCAACAGAGCTATTTTATGCTTCCAGTTATTGCTTCTGGGGAACTGTATTTTTTTCTTCCTATTCATTTCAGAGTTAGTTTATCAGCATCTTTAATGCTTTCATAATTTTTGTTTTCAAATCTGACATTGTTCTATTTGGAAGACTCTTACAATCCATGTTGTATTGTGATTACTAATTCTCATTAATTTTCACTGAAGCATGCTTCCCATTTTTATAAAGATTATTTCAAATTGAATCTCAAAAGGAAAACCACTTATGACAAATTTGCTTTTCTTAGTTAAAAAAAAAAACTTCTCTGACAAGTAATATAAATTAATACATTATGATTAAATGCATTGTGGACTCTAAAACTCAATGGTCATTCGGATTGCTAAATTTTTATTTATGATACCTCTGAAAAATGTTTCCAAGGAGCTAGGTCTCCCTTTTGCTAAATTTTATGTTTTTTTCTTTTTTTTTGTTTTGTTTTTTGTCTTTAGATGACATTCAGATTTTCTATTTTACAAATCACATTTCCTCTTTCATTAGACAATACGATTTTCATTCATTGTTCCCTCAAACCTTATTACAAAATATAAATGAAAGGTGGGTATGTTTATTTTTCAATTCAGACTTCTGGCAGATATCTAGAAGGCATCCAGTTCTCCATCTTTAGTGTTTTTCACCCTGGGTTAGAGTTGTGATTTACATATCTTGTCCCAAATGTTGGCTCCTTTTGTACTCCTTGGGGAGATAACCTTCCTGCCCACTTTCCTTTCAGTTCCTCATTTCTCCTCATTGCATCAAAAGCTCCCCGTTGCATACCCATGAGCTAAGTGCAGCATGTGATTTCGATTATTTTGAAACATAGTCATAAATTTAATCTACTTTTCAAAGAGGAAACATGAGATTCAAATTCATAGTTGATCTTTATAAATAATTTACAGAAATATTTTGATGGCCTCATGAAATATATATATATCTGACTTTAAAATTTTTTATATTCCTGATATAAAATTTTATATTGTGATATAATAGAATTATGCTGTAATTCCACTATGTCATGTTTTACTACTATAATACTTTTTTTTTTTTTTTTTTTTTTGTGGAACCAGGGATTGAACTCAGGCCCTTGCTCTTGCCAGGCAAGCGCTCATTCCCCTGAGCCATCTCCCCGGCCTCTTATAATACTTTTTAAGGAAAAAATATTAGTGTCCTAAATTTAAATAAGTATTATTATATTTGATAAGAGAGAATCTTAGCATTTTCATTCAAAAGTAATGCTAAGAAAGATGCTATCTTGTTTAAAATTAATCAATTTATTTCATAATAATATCATCAACATTGACATAACTTTAATTTATAATTATAGCAACTGTTGTTAAAAGAAGAAAGTTTTCACAAGTTGTATTATTAATGTCTCTCATACAAAGTTCCACATTTAATAAACTTGTACACGGTAGGTCAGTGACTAGTGCTATATATTAAACTTTTAATGTAATGCTTTCCTTTTTTCCTTTTTCTACTTCATTTTTTGGCAGAACTGAGGATTGAACTCAGGCCCTTGCACTTGCCAGGGAAGCACTTATTCTATGGAGCCATCTCCCCAGCCCCATGTTTTCTAAATTTATTTCAAATGGAAAACGAAAGAACAGAGAATTGTTTTGAATTTATTCTACTTGGGAACTGATTTCAAATTTCATGAATGCATGACTTTATTGTTCAATTTTTTAAAACAATGTCCTTAAAAATTCCTTTCTTAGAACAGGGAACTATATTTCCTGAGAGAACAATACTATTGCATGGGGTTGGGGATATAGCTCAGGGGCTTAAGCACCTGCCTGGCCAGTGCAAGGTCCTGAGTCTGGTCTCCAGT